CCCTCCACCCCGATATCATCCCCCACCACCCCTCGGCGAGGAGTAAGTGCCACCGCTCCGCCTTCTCCTTTTCGCAATGTTGACGCAATCTATAAATAGTGGAACAAAAGGACCAACTTCCTCGCAGCTTTGCTGAAACTGCACAAAAAAGGCAACCGGGGGGGGAACACACACGCGCCCTCCCTCCCTACTGGAAGATCTTTTTTATTTTCTCTTGCTGCCTCCTATGCTGGCAACGTCCTGCGAGTGGCTATTTTGCTTTTGCACCGAGAGAAGAGCTTCCCCCCTCGCCCTCTCTTCTGACAGTAAGTGCCATTTAGCTACTGCCTTTTCTGGAACTGGGGGGGCCGCCTGCTCGCCTACCTGCCTGCTGCCCCAGAGAGCGGGCAGCGGGGACCGGGAGCTCCGGGGAAGCGGGGGGAGCTTTGGAAGCGGTGAGGGGACAGCGCCGCGGAGCGAGCGGGGATGCGCGCAGGGGGGACGGGGAGTGGGGGACCCGTGGATTTGGCCGGGGGGGCCAACCGGTGAAATAAGGTGATCGGGAGAGGGGACGGCGGCTGCCGCCCGCCGAACAAAAGCTGACGCTGATATTAAACGGGCTTTTGTTAGAGGGAAGTGAGTGTGCGTGCGTGCGTGTGTGTGTGCGGGGGGGACACCCCGCCCGCAGCAAGTTGCCGTGCGGCGGAGGGCACCTCAGACTTGTTTACCGCTCGGCGCGGCGCTCACTGGCGTGTTTACCCTGCACACACGGCGCGGGGCTCCCCTCCTCCCCCAGCCCCATCCCTCTTCCGTGCCCCGGGGAGGGGAGGGATGAGCGGAGCGGGGTTTATAGCGGCGCTGGGGGGGTGCGCCGTCAGGAGATGCTGATACGATCACGCGTAAAACAACCACCCCCCTCCGGTTTGCAAGTCGGATCGGTGCAAGCGCAGGCAGTCACTGGCCGGAGGGAGAATTACATCATCCCCTGCTCCAGTGATGCTACCTTTCGTGCCGCTACCATGCGCGCAGGGAAGCAACCGGGGGCGCGCCTCACGCCCCCCCGGCCGCCTCGGTGCCACCCTGGGGGCGGCGGGGGGGAGCTGGGGGGCGGGGAGGCGCGCCCCCGCGTCACTCACACACACACACACGCCCGCCCGAGTGTTTACAGCGCTCACACAGGCGTATTGTGACGTCGCCTGAGTGACAGCCCGCAGCGCCAACGGGGGGGGCGCGGCCCCGCCGCCGCGCAGAGCACGGGGCCCGCCCGCCCCGGCCCCCCCGGCACCGGCGCCGCGAGCGGCTCCGCGGGGCGCGGCGGGGGCTGCAGGGCCCCGCCGGGCCGGGACTGAACGCATCCAAAGTTCAATCCGACTCACACGCTCCGGCAGCGGCATGGCTTACGCGATGCCGATGGGTTTGGGGTTGTGACGTTCTGTGACGTTTTGAGCGCACGCTGTAGAGGGGAGAGCTCGTGAGAGAGGCGAGGTGTGTTCGCAAGCGTGGGGTGTCTGTGAAGTTACACCGCTCCCTGCGGCAGAGGACGGGGACCGGTCTCGTCCCGGGGAGCACGGTCCTGGTGAGACTTTGGGACAGGAACGCCGTCAGCGTAGAAGCTGTCATATCGATGGCCCTGGACACTCCATTGTCCAGAGTGGACAATATTTTTTTTTTTTTTAAAGGGATATAGACTTCAGTACCGAAGACAAAATCTAAAATCACATATCGTACGCTTTCCCCAGCGTTACAAGTGTAATGTTATAGGGTTAGAAACTTGTTGCAATATGCTACTGAGTTGGGGAAAAGTGTCTCTGGGGTTTACTCAGGCTGTGAAAATATTGAAGCAGTACTTACCCACTGCAAAGTCAATAAAACTGTATCACTCTAAAACCAACAAAAAGTGCTTTACAAATTTATATTTGTCAAGAATTGTCTGCCGGAATGCAGCAGTGTAAAAATTACTACCAAAACACCAACATCTACTTGCTGCAAAATTCAAGTAACCACGAAGCCCTGTTTAATAGTACACACAGTTTTTAATGTGTTAATGGTTTGGGGTTCTTCAAAGCATATTACTTTTTGAAGTCTGGGTGTCTCTATTTGTGCAGAAAATAGACTGAGAAGCTTTGAGCTCCTACTGTTACAAAAGTTAAAAGGAAACAAAGTTGAGCTGCTAAGTCGGCAGTCTGGAATGAGTCAATAGTATCTCCTTTGTCCTGCTAGCTTTCTCTGCTGTGGTGTATCTTTGCTCTATTTCCTCTGCAAAAGCAAATGAGCATTTCTACCCTCAGCATATTTAATAGACTTAGTAGAACTCCTGGCTTCTAAATATTTTAAACTACCAGTAATATTCCAATGTGTCTCCCTTTCCCAGCTATATACAACAGTGGTACTAGCGTCAATGACAGTATGCTCACTTCTTTGACCAAGAGATACTTCCACATTTTCCATTATCTATAATTAATAGAGCAAATTATTCTTGCTGTGTTGTAGTAAGCCTTCATAAAGGAACAAATATGCCCTTTTAAAGTACTCCATTATCTCGTGGGTTTTTGGTTGGTTTTGGTTTGGTTTGTTTTTAAGGAAAAAAAAAAAAAGATTGCGCTGGAGACATGAAGGAGATGTAAATAACTCCCCTCTTCATTTACTTGGGGATTCCCCAGGAGTCTCAGAGGGCAAGGAGGTAACATAGCTGGCTTTTACAACAGGATGACAGGTCCTGACACAGGGTCACAGAGAATCTATGCTTGGCTAGCCCTGTGCTCCAGTTTTGTTTAGCTGGTAGCTAGTCCCTTGAGGGATCAATGTCAACTTAAGCATGCTAACTTCTACAAGCAATGGGCTGGCCACTGACCGAGGGCTGTGACTGGCTCCTCCAGGGCTCCCTGCTTCTGTGCACTTGGAGCTCGAGTGCTGCTGCCAGGCTGCTTCTGTGGCTCTGCAGCTTGTCACAGAGAGAATTAAAGTGGCAACAGCACAAAGCAAGCCCAAACACCGTCTGTTCTCTGAAAACAAAAAGTGGCTAGGTGTATGAGGTGGATAGGAAAAGCAGCTTGGGTAGGGACATGGCTTCATGACTGAGGCACAGAAACTGGAGCCAACTCCCATCACCATGAGCTGTTTCTGTGTACCTCAAACCCACTTTTCCCTTAAATTCTGGCCTTGAATTGGTATTAGTTGTTCCACAGATCTGTCCCAGAGATAATAAACAAATGTCAATTAAATGTCCCACACAACAACCTACTTAGATAACAACCTACTTTCTCTTTTAAGATATGTATATCTTAAATTTATCAATTAGGGAACAAGGTATATGTGTGCATGTGTTAATGCACACACAGATACACACCTCCTCACACTCTCAGTCCTTTCTGGTTTAACTTTCAAAACCCATTGGAGATTAGAGCTGGGTTACTAGAGTTCAAAGAAGAGTGAATTTGTATTAAGTCACTGGGGTTGAAACCTGTATTTTAATATGTACAGTATGTAGTTTTTATTCAGTTTTATGTTACAGTATGAAGACTTTTTAAGTCTGCAAGATCAAGATAATTTTTGTGTTTATAAAAATAAGGCTTGTTTGTTATTAATTTATCTAACTCTGCTTTTCTTTTGATACTTGAAGTACATAAATGAGTTATTTAGCGCATTATTAGCTGAATGACCCTTCCTTTACTTTTTTCACCTTGAAAAAGATTATCAGTCAGCTACTGCTGTAATACTGTATATGTGACCAGTCGTCTGTACCATTTGATGTCTGATACTTTTAAAATTGATTTTTTTCATAGTCTTATTCTGTACATAGGATCCCAGGGTTTTTTTGTCTGTTTGTTTTTAACACCCTATAATTCCTAATGATAACAAGTAGTTTTCCCTGATCACCATAAAGGCCTATGCTATGGATTTCTACAGTTTTCTTTTAAAACTCTAGACACATTTCCATCTTTTCATTTGTAAAGGGTATTACTAACTTACATTTGGAAATTTGACTGATTCAGACAGCACAGTCTTCCTGGTTCTGCAAGCAGGCAGTTCCAGTGTTTCAGCATTTGCACAGTAGCACTTTAACAAGCAGCAGCCATGCATAACTAACGAGACTGCAAGTCCAGTTACTGCTTTTTAGAAGCCTCTACCCAGCTCTTGTGTTATCCAAAATGTCCATTTTATGTTGTTGCAGCCATATGACAGTACTACTAACAGCAGGAAAGTGTAGTGGTTATTTACAATGGATAAGATACAGGGGGAGAAAAAGAAGTTTTAAAAAATGGAGGCTGAGGTGCAGGAAGAAAGAAGAATAGATCCAGCTATCCTTTTATAGTAACTGGTGTTTTGTGGAAAGTGGTTAAGAAAGGAAGACTCTTGCTTCCTTCCAGCAGTTGACCAGTGATGGCATGATACTTCTAACTGAAGGCTGACAGCATTCTTGGATAAACCCTTATGCAGGTTTCATATGAAGTGTCTAGTATTGCTCAGCTCCTTCTCTTGACCCTACTTTTAGATTCAGGGTCATACCCTCTAACTATATTGATGGATGTCTAATAGAACAGTTTTCAAATTTGGCATTAATGCTTCATACAAAGTAATATAATATTTTATATTTGTGAATATTTTAAAGTACTGCTATAGTTTTCAATAATATTTTTTTATCTGTACAGTTAGTGTTGTGAATACAACATATGAATAGATGATATTAGCTAGACAGGGCATCACTTCAAAATGTGTACATAATGTGTACACAAGATAACACCTAGCACAGACTCCAAAAAGTGCTCTTAACATGGATTACAGGTACAAATTAATACTTTGATGAATGGAAACTAGGAATTCAGTAGTAGTTCACCAGATAAGAAATATGCCTTTAGACTCCAGAAAGAAGTAAAAAATTAATATACTGAAAACAGTCAACACTAGCTAGAAAAACAGATTATCGAGACCACTGTATTTTTTAAGGACTCTTAGTATCCTCGTTTCTGTCTATGTTATTTGCATGAACATCCTTTTTAATAAAACAATGAAATTCACGAGACCACTGTATTTTTTAAGGACTCTTAGTATCCTCGTTTCTGTCTGAATATGTTATTTGCATGAACATCCTTTTTGATAAAACAATGAAATTCGCAAAGATTCCACTGTATGACACTGTACTGATTGACTGTCACAACTACTGACTAAATATTAATTTTTGTAATCTTTCTAAGTTAAATCTATAAACTCCTATATCTGGATAACTTTTAAAACCCTACACACAAATGAAACACTCAACAAAACAATTTACTGACTTACACATTGTCCACCCTTGTTTTTAAAGATTTGGTTAGTAATTTAAATTAGT